GTGCTGGACTGGGGATAGTAGGCCGTTTTTCTCCAGATGATCCATTACGGAATCAGCAACGATAGATTCCATGACTTCTGTGAGTGTGTGCGCGGTGATCCTAGATGACACGTACCCTGGAGCGAAATGTTACAGTTTTTGGACAATTGTGATCAACCAAGCTTTACGGGTGACGTCAACAACGCGCGTACGTGTGACTGCTTCTGACTACATGCTATAGGTAGATCGTACCAGCCAACCAGAGACAGTGCGGCCCAGACAGAAGCAGAATGACGCAATCAATACTAGAACGCGATTGGTAGAAACCCGGATAACCAATGAACTTACTTGATACATATTATTTATTCCCCATTATTTCTTCCAATAAATGAGCTACTACTGCTGAAGCCTTTTCCCTCACGTCTCAGTTACGTGGGATATTGCGTGCTAGTGCCGGTGCGATCCAGTGCTTACGTGATCCAGTTCGTGATTGCTAATCCTTGATTCGTATTCCGAGTTCAGTGTGCATAACTGTTACGACTACCATTACTACTACAACCGCTTCAGTTGCCCGCATGAGAATCAAACTGGTTTCGGATTGAATCGAGGGTGCATCGATCAAATTGTTAATTTTTGGATCAGTTATCGAATACAGACCCGTAAATCGACTTTTTCATCGTTCATTTAAAAACAACCTTAGGTTCACTACTCTAACCGATGAGATAGTAAGAGAATTATACAAACTTTTTATTTGAGTAGCTACACTTCATCTGGCAGAACGTTCACATCGCGCACACAGACGGCTCTGTTGACATTTGCCAACGTTGTGGCATGGTTACGACATTCGGTTGCCTACGGACGGCCGAAGGTCCGGTATGGCCCTTCCTGGTCGATTAAACTGTAAGATGCAGAGACTTATTTGTTATGGGGAAATGATAAAAAAACAGATTAGCACTATTCGAAGGCCTGTACAAGCACCGAATTGTACTAGTTTGTTTGGGCAACATTGCTGAGGTTAGATAAATGGAATGGGGTGCTCTCGGTCACGCCTTTCGGATGCATGACAGCGTGCGATGCTTGCCGAGGCAGATACGGTGGAACACCGACCGAGGTCAGGATCAGTGCGCGGATATGTCATGAAAATCCTGATCCAGATTTTCGATTACAGGGGCCACAATAGATTTCCTGATTGGTTATCATGTGAACAATGGTAGGAGACATTAACACAAGTAGATAAATGTTTTTGTTGATTAGGTACTGGTGACGCAGTGGGTTAGTCGCTATTACCAGTGTGCTTTGGACCCTATGGTCCGAGCCCAGCCACCGCCAACCAACTGGTGGTAGACAGCTTTGCTGTGGTCCGATTCGATACCATGCCTTATGTGGTTTGCCACTCCAAGTCTCGCGGGGCTTAGGTTACCGGTTCCCATGAGCGAGCAGCAGGTCTTCGTGACCATGGGATTCGCCCCGTCTGCTGTACATTACACAAATGTGAGTAATTAAAAAAGACATTGTGACGCTTATGCGCCTAATCCTACTCCTCCTGTTTGTTGATTGTAGCAACGGGGTAGCCAAAACGGCAGCAAAGAAAAACATTTTATGACAGGGCACGAAAACTGGAATGACACGGACTTTCAGAGTGACAATTCTTAACCGTGTGCGACTTTCGCGAACCAACAGCCGAGATAACTGATGTTATAAACAAACAAACTGTTAGGCGGGAGCACAGTTGAGATAAGGCTCAGTTTAGTCTTTATGAGTTCGAATTATGAATATAATATCTCTGAGCTGCTGTTTGTCAACGTCAAAATTTTACCAACGTGATCACGGATCGCCGTCGTCGTGGCCTAACGAAACCGACCATTGTTGCCAAGAGGCTATGGAGTTCCATTAAAATGATTTTCATATCCGACCAAGTTAGTGCAATAGACCGATCAGGTCCACCCATACTCTTCATGCTGAGTACACAAAAGGCGTAATTTTTAAATCCATACATATCCGAATGAGCTGAGTTGTGGTCTGGTCGTTATGACACACAAGGCTCGGAAATACTGTACGGATCAAAAGGTTTGAAAGGAATGATTGGAAAAAAGATCTCTCCCCCCCACCCG